TTAAAGTTTTTGTACATCGAGCGGGGTCCTGGCATATTCATACGAGAAGGGGTGGGTGTGGGGTGGGGGGGTGGGTGTGGGTGTGGGGCGGGGGTATGGGTATGGATGTGGGTGTGGGTGTGGGTGGGTGTGGGTGTGGGTGTTGGTATCGATGTTCAATTCGTCCACACCCACACCCACACCCTTTTTCTGAAACACCCTTTTTTTCATAAACCGTGATTTTTTTATGGTTTTTTCGTGGGAATAACGATTACATATGGAAAAAAAGTACGTCGCACATGTCTCTGCATGTGCTCATTCGATTCACCATAGTCGATAACCTACGACGAACTGCTCCCAGTTTTTTCCTGTACCACTTTTAAAGAAAAAACCGCGATAATCAAAGGAGAAACTTGTTTTGCGTTTTTCTCGAAACTGTTTCTTTTTGTTTTACCTGATTGTGCGTCAAAGATTTCTCCGCCATTTTAAATGCTAGAAAGCTCGGGAAGGTTTTAAAATGAAGCTAAAGCTCAGCGCTACAACCTAACAAGGCCAGAATTTTTGTTTTCAATTTAGTTGTTTACAAAAGAATCTAGTTTTCTAAAAAGTTAATCTAGATTTTTTATTTTTTTTCAAAAAAACTACCCAAAAAAAAATATTTATTTTTTCAAAAAACTGGCTTTGTTAGGTTGTAGGGGCAAGTCTTCTCTGCATTTTGACACCCCCCCCCCCCCGAGGTCCGTGTCATTAAAATTGAAAAAAAAAATCTTTGACACACGGACACCTACTTTTTGACCCTTAATGTTACGATAACTCGGGAAAAACTTAATATTATGAGCTCAAATTTTTACTGAGAACTATCAAAGATCAAGTACATATTCAGTAAAAATTTCAGTAAGATTGAGTGTTCTGGGAAAAAAATAGATTTTTGAGGTATGGGAGGCCCTTATAATCAAGGATATTGACAAAGTCTTGACTTAATTGCTCAACTTCATGAATTGGTTTGGTGATGTTAGATTCTGTCAATTTTTTGAAAATATCACATACTGTTTGAAGGGCACTCTTATGTCTGGCATTAATGTGAAGCAGTTAAAAATAAATATTCAAGTATGTAATACCACACTGCTACGAAATGCGGTTCAGATTTTATTCAAAAATCATCTATAAGAAATTCTCACGCTTTCGACGAGTATCACTCGGCATTATCAGAAGAACGAGAGATAACGAAAAAGTTACATGTATTAAATAAACAGAAAAAGAGCGGAAGAATGTATGAGCAGATATTTTCGAAAATATCTATTCTTTTTTCTTTCCATACATTCTTTCTTTCTTTTTCTGTACATTTAATACATGTAACTTTTCCTTTGTCTCTCATTTTTTTGATGATGCCGAGTGATACTCGTCGAAAGTGTGCGAATTTCTTATAAATGATTTTTGAATAAAATATAAAATACATTTCGTGGTAGTGTAGTACTACTTAGTTGAATATAAGGTATCATTGAAATATTACCTCACAAGAAAATTCCACTATCTGATTAAAAGCTTTATGGCTAACCTTTCAGTTACAATTAGAAGTTAGTAAACTCCTAAGAGGATTTCTCGCCATAGTCTTATTCGGCTGAGATAAAACTTTTGAAGTCTAAAGTCAGAAATGCAGATAAATTGCCTGTTGCATCTTAATTGCAAGCAGAGATGCAGAATCTACCCGAGTGCGCGTACGGCCGTACGGGGAAATGTTTTGGAAAATATTTTTCCCTCGTAGGAAAAATCTTACAGTTTTCCAAACAGATCTTAGTTTATTTATATCTGCATCAATAAGATCTTGCACCTTTTTTCTTTCTTTTATTTTTGTTAAACTTTTAAAAGAATCATCCATGTCTTTCTCGTAGTGCCAATATCGTCTATTTTTGTTTACGGTGATCCTGCATCTTACTACTTTTCCTTCGCTCTTTCTGTTTGTGCGAATTTATGACACAAAACAAACTATTTGTTTTCTTCTCTTGTCATTTTGTTCTTTTTCCTAATGCGATGTCACTACTCGCCGTCTTTTCTCTGTTGGTACATATTATTTGTTATTGTGTGCTCGTATGCGTACACGACCGCTAGAATGACTAATATATAGTCACACAGTAGATGATGAACAAGATGATCCTTATTCACTGGCAAATACTTTCTCGTCTCTCATTTTTGTTTTATCTACTTTTTTTAGACCTTTAACACATCTGAATAATAAAAATGTACCCAAGTAAACAGTAGGCATCATGTTTTTATTGTGAATGGGTCGGACGAAAAGATAAAGCAAAAGAACATTGAAAAAAAAACATTCTGAAGAAACATTTAAATTCAAAATTTGAGAAAACAGCTTGACAAAATATCATTTTCGAAAAGAAACAACTGAAAAAACGAGAACAATTACCAGTGATGATGATGCTGATAAAAATGAAGAACAAGAAGAACCAAATGTTATTATCTTGTCTCCATGCATACCAGTCTCAACAGCAACAACAACTAATGCTGTCATTTCATCTTCAATATCTATTTTAGGTACACCATCAATTCCAAGTACGCTAGCAAATCTGAGTATATTATCAGGTCCAACAAAAATTTTAAATCACCGAATTCTATACAAGATCAATTAGCATCGATGGCAAAACAACTTTCAAAAATAACTAATGCTATTGAAAATATTCATTTAGAAAAAAATAGTAAAGAATCATCATCATCAACACAAGCAGATGATATTGAACAATTATTTGAGAGTATCAAATGTTCAGATGATTTATTTATGTTGTAAAGTTTAGAGATAAATAGTCTCTTAGATACAATCACATGTATTCCTTGTTCTACCTGGAAAAAACAAGCACCAAAACATCTATTTACTTCCATTAAATCTTCATTTGGCATATTTCAACATATTGAACAAAAAGTGGATGAACCTCTCTCACAATGATTTCGAAGCTTAAAAACAAATTTAAAATCATACTTTTTAAACAAATTATATATATGGTGTGTTCGAGAACAAGAAGAAAGAAAACAAGCGTTTGATGATTTTGTAAAGAAAAATGAGAAAGCAGAAATGAATGTCGATAAAGCTGCTTTATTTTCTATTCTAAGTGGTTTATGTGGTCTTAAATTTGTTAAAACACTAAATCTATTAGATTTATCTGGAGCCGTTGTTGGTACATATAGGTAAATACAACATTTTTCTGTAGTCTTTACATGCACCATACAAGCTGTTTCTGTTATATTTAGACATAGTCGGTGGTTTTTTAGAAACTTTGAGCATCAATGGCAAGAACTATGAAAGAACGAGTTATAGAATATTTACAAACAATTGACCCTATCACACAACGTCGTCGAGCTTTTGCTATAACATTTGATAAAGTAACGATATTAAGAAGATCAATGCAAGTAACAATGATGATAGTAATGGTAGATGGTCAATTGACACCTATTTATGTTCAATCACCATTATGTAAAACAGAGCTGTCTGGTGAAGAATTATCTGATAACTGTGTTCATGTAATGGAATCATTCACCTTGTCACAATCAATATTAAAACAACAATTAGTTGGTTGTGCTGTTGATGGTGCATATATTCATTTGAGTATTGGTAAACATTTATGTCAAAAGATTGGCATAAGAGAAGAATGGTTATCAATACCATAGGATAGTGCTCATTTACTTGAGCTAGCTATTCATGATGTTAAAAAACAACGAAAATTTTTATGGCTAACAAGATTTATTAAAACATGTCCTATGATTATGAGAAAATATTCATATGGTAAACAATATGAACAACTATTACAAGCAGCTGAACTAATAGAAGAAGATATTTTACAACCGAAACAATTCCATATTACTCGTTTTGCTAGTTCAGAATGTCGTGTTTCTGAAACTATGATGAGAGACTGGTCAACATTGTATGAATTACATGAACAAGATAGTATTGTTAATGCGCTAACTGGTGGTGATTTAAGTGCACGAACTCGACACAATATTAATTCACAACAAGAAACTGATGCTGGTAATAATGGTACTTTACAGGTGAGTTGCAATCTAATTTTTGCAATCAACATAATTATTTCTTTCTGCCTTTGTTTTGTTGTAGATTGAAGAAAGTAAATCCGTAGATTTTGTTTGTAAACTTGTAGGATTAATTGATATATACAATATCATTGTGAAAGCATCGGTATTTGTACAAAACGTTGATAAATATCCATGGGAATATGATAATGCAATACGACGTTTACAAGAATGTTTAAATAATTATGCTACACTCTAAAAAAAAAGGTTTTTTACCGAACTCCCGAAAAAGGTTCCGTAGATTTCAAAAAGCTTGCAAATGCATTCAAATGCTCAAAAAACGATTTTTCAGTTCTACGAAACCTTTAAAGGTTCTTTCCCTGGACACAAGGGAAGAACCTTTTTCCTGCGAAACCTTTTTTAAGTTCTGTACAGCAAAAATAGATTTTGTAAAAAAAATACGAAACCTTTAAAGTTTCGTATTAAACTCTACTGGTTTAGTGCGAAACCATTAGTGTTTAGTAAAAGCCGTTAGAATTTAATACGCAACTTTAAAGGTTTGGTATTTTTTTTTACAAAATCTATTTTTGCTGTACGGAACTTAGAAAAGGTTTCGCAGGAAAAAGGTTCTTCCCGTGTGTCCAGGGGAAGAACCTTTAAAGATTTCGTAGAACCGAAAAATCGTTTTTTGAGCATTTGAATGCATTTGCAAGCTTTTTGAAATCTACGGAACCTTTTTCGGGAGTTCGGTAAAAAACCTTTTTTTTTTAGAGTGTAGGCTACTTGAACAACTTGATCTAAATACAACACAAGAAATGGATAGCATTGAAGGTAAAACTCTATTTTATACTGTAGAATGTATTCTCGCGTTCTATCAATATAATTTCTACCATAGAATATCAACAAGATTCACCAGTTACTTGGCACATCACACCCACACCCCATTGATGATGATGATTATGACAACATTGATATTGAGAGAGACAAAGAACAACTGATTTCAGCAACACCATCAACAACGTATATGGAACAACATTATCAGAGTCTGTTTAATTGTATATTTCGATAACGTCCCATCACTAGACGTAAAAGTGATTATGACATAGAAGATCCAACTTCACATGTTCGAGAAAAACTAATTTTATTATGTAAAGAACTAATTGAAGCAATTGAAACCCGTTTTAAAGATAGACCATCAATTTTTTGTTGATGAAAAACTGTTTAGATGTATCGTCATTATACGAACAGGTGGTATTAACCGGTCAACAGAAATTAGCAGATTATGGTCGGTCGGCTTTACAAGAATTAATTGATTTTACAACACTGAACTCGAAATACATAAAAATAGATGCAACTGCTATACAACAACAATATGCGAAATGAAAACAAAGATATTTACTTGAGATTGAAGATAAAGACACATTTGATATATGGACAACAAATGGGAAAATAATAACACCGAAAGTAATGAAAACATTTTATACAAATAAAAACCTAGCAGATGGTATTCATGATTTTTTATATTTCTATTCTTTGATGATATTGAAAATTAGAAGTGAAGCGGTCTGTGAATCAGTGTCGTCAATTTTAAAAGGACATATTCACAATAATCGTTCATTACAACACACTTCGTTAGATGAAGAAGTAATGTTATCCTGGAATGCACCACCATTACATTCAGCTGATTTATTCATTACAAGTTCACTCAATGAATACTTTAGTCATACGAAGGATAGACAATGGCTATTTTATAAAAAAAAGTGAACAATATCAAGTTTGGAAACTTGTTTCTCCTGGCTCAGTTGTTTTAAATCGTTTACGTAAAGTACAAGTTGGAAGATTACCTGAACCAGACGATATTGAATAATAAGATTCTTTTTTTCTAAAGTGTATTTGCAATTTGTTGTGTAGTCGTAGTTATTCTTTTTTGAATAAACATCATCTTTAACGGGGATGACTCGTTTTTTCATTGAATTCTATAGTGGGGGAAATTTTTCATAAAAAATTTGCCGTTTGGGGAGATTTTTTATTTTAGCGGCAGATTCTGCACCTCTGACCCACACCCACACCCCACACCCACATGAGATTATATCTGATCTACATTTAAAATCACGTCATTCCCATATCTTTTTATTAGTGAGAATTCATTTTTTGAAAATCTTTTTTTCTAATATCAATTCAGATTTTGTCGATACATTATTTTTTTCTATATCAATAACTTTAAAATTATTTATATATATCAAACATTAATAATGATAATCATAGATTTATTCGGTGATATAAGTATAGACAACGATTTTTTTAATAGAAAAAAAACGATAATAATGATATTTAATATATACCAATGAATAGAATTTTAATAAAATAAATAAAAATATTAATTATTTTAAATATTTCTAACTAATTCAATTTTATCTCAACATTGATTTAGATTAAAATTCTTCTTTATATTTAATGAATAAACAAACGAAAATAAACAGGATTTTTTTTTGAACAAGATTATGATGACGACAGAAATACTCCTAAATAATTCTATTTATAATAAATACCTAATAAATTCTTCTAATAACAAGTTATAAGTGATCTTAACTTTTGTTAAACTACCGAGATCAATATTGAATTTTACTGACGATTTTATTTTTAAAATGTGATAAAACTATCGTTAAATAATCAACTTCAATATAAAACAAATATCAGTTCATTTTTTATATAAAGTTCATAAAAATTGCATTAAATCTGTCAAAATAAAATCTAAAGGAACTAATTATAGACATTATTTGAAAATAATCGAATTTATAAATATTTCATATTGAAATAAATTGTTCTTCTACAGATAAATTATTATTATTTTGTTTATCTCTGTTAATGTTTATATTAATATTCTTTGTTTATTTTTATTTGTTACAGATAGTTTGAATTATTCGAGATATTTTTTCAAAGAATTAATTAGCAAAAAACTCTACCGTTAATAAGATAAAGCAAAAGAAAAACATTGAAATTGAGTCTTGAATAAGACTCATAATTGAGGAAAAATTAAAAGAAAGATCATATCGATAAATGAGGGTGTGGGTGGATGTGGATCCTCTCTTCATATTCTTGTTCAGATCCACATTCGCACCCACAGTAATTCTCCTCCTATTTTCATCTATCTCTCATATTCATCTATTCCTCTACATATAGACACTCATCATACTGAACCTTGGTATCAATTAAATTGGAGCTGCCAGGGCACAGCATCTTGTTAATGCCTTAAAAAATAACTTTGTGATTCTCATCTTATGTTCATCTCTCTCATACTTATCTTCTTCTCGACACATAGACACTCACCAAACTGAACCTTGAATTCAATAACATTGGGTGTGGGTGTGGCTGTGAGATAATATCCACATCCACATCCACACTCACCTACATCCTCACAGCCCGCACTTAGTCACCTCACCCCACACACCCACGAATACATACGTTCACACGCACCTACCCAAAGTATCAAACATAGAATTCTGAGGAAAGAAAATTTTTCTCTTTGCGAGATGTTTAGATCTGCGACTTTCTTCTTTTCATTTTTTGGCGTGTACAAATTTCTCAATAGTCATTTTGCTTTCCATCAGTTTTGATTTTTTCGTTAACTACATTGAATCCTCATAAAACGGTAGCTTGTGATTTTGGATTCGATTTTCTGTAGCACATTCTTTTAAATATATTGATATTCGACATTGAGAGCAGAAGTGATCTTCATATTTATCGAAGATTATTCAGATGTTCCATGCACATGCTACGTAAATAAAAATATAAAGACAAAAATTGAGAGTAACAGTGAAGATGCTATGTATTTAATGCATATGGATGAATAATGATTGATAATGATCCTTTCAACATACTCTCATATGTTTCATCATTCTACAAGAAAAATTTTTATCGATTTTATTTGAGAAGCACAAAATGAATGCGTCGGAAAGAATTGTTAAGAATGATACGCATGAATTAGAGTCTTTTCATGTTTTCATTGTTTCGTCAAACAAACTCAAGTTGCCTTCGATTATTTGCGCAGGTCTAAGATCATCCGTATTTTGCACCACATGAGTCCTTCTCTTTTAGATACATCTATTGCCCTGTTCAATAGAGTCTGTTGTTTCTTATCGATTTTCTCCATCAGTGTATCATAGTATCTTTGAACTTTTGAAGACAATTGTACAACATATACTTCATAGTCTTCGGGTGTGGGTTGGTTTCTTGCTGACCTTGATTTTAAACATTTAACCGTTTCGATTATTCTAGTTCCTTCAAGAAGTTCAATAATGACAGGTTGATCATTTTCGTCGAAACTGCTTTTAACATCTTGCCTGATTTGTTTAACTGCATCACGATTTTCTTTTATTTGAGCGTTTATCTCTGCATGTATGTCTTCATTTTCAGATGCAATCTGCCTTTTCCATTGACCAAAATAATCATATTGGTGGTTATCATCAACGAATGAAGCATCAGAATAACTCACAATTTGGAAACCAATGCTCAAAAATAGTAATGCAGGCATTATAATCTTGATAATCAGAACCATTAGTTTTTGGATTTGAAGAGCACAGACTGCAGACGAATATATCCAAAGTACAAATATATATACGTCAATGTAATATGAGGCCTTTGGGTACATATTAATGAGTATTCATTTTCCCTCTCTGTTATCATAGATTCTATCCTTTTTCATTTGCGATAAAAGAATAAGAAGATTTGATATCCTCTCAAAATATGTTTGAAGGCTGATATTATTCATCGTATTTAAGATTTATTCAAATAGATAATTATTTGATATTGAGGATCACTATTCAATTAAACTTAGTCTGCACTTGAAAAGAAAATAAGAAGAACAGTATGGGGTGTGGGTATGGGTGGGTGTGTGAATGTGGGTGTGGGGTGTGGGTATGGGTGTGGGTGTGGGTGGGTGTGGGTGTATGGGTGTGGGTGTATGGGTGTGGGTGTGGGTGTGTGGGTGTAGGTGTGGCTGGATGTGGGTGTGGGTGTTGGTGTGTCCTCACTTCACTTCAACTGCCATCCACACCGACACCCACCCACGCCCACCCACCCACACCCACACCCTCAATTAGAAGTAAACGATAGAGAAACAATGTATTTACTGTCGTAAGCCACATAAAATACGAACCGTTTACGGCCACTAGAATGCATCGTTAATGACAATTTACCTCTTCGTACACAGTTCGAGCGAATATACCCGCATACTGTTGCAAAAGACGCCATAACGGTCAT